ACTCGAGATCCTCGTCTCGTATTATTCACCTTCATGTTTTCAGATGATTCTAACAAATTGTGCAAACAAACGATTGAGATGCATTTTACGATTGAATTCCATTTCAATTTTTAATATCAATGGAACATAAGGATGGTGATTTAAATTCACTATTATTTTTACTCTTCGCTTGAAAGAAGAGTAAAACCTTGCTACGCAAGGTTGATGTAAAGTAATGAACATATTCAAATGAAATTCATGTTTTACAAGTACAATATGATTACTATATTACACGTTTGTAGTAAATTCATCGTTAGGCGATTAATAAAATACATATAATGTTTAAAGACTAGACGATTATACAAGGTCGATGAAAATAACTGACTCGATCCAACTGTTCGGGCTTGATATTTAATTTATTTAATGTTCAGTTTAACTGATAATGAAATTAATATTCTACTCTACTAATATTAATATAATATTATCTAATAATAATTCTCTTTCAAATTAATATTAAAATTAATTCTCTAAAAATATAATTTTTTATAATGCATTTGTTCTTAAATATACTACATTTTGATTTAAAGTGTTATCTTATAAAATTAATTTCTTTTAATATATTTAAATAACAATACATAAATTAAATTTAAGTATATCCTATCGTGGATTATCAAATTAAATAACAAATTTCCCTAAAAGGCTGCCATGTTGATTGTAATGTATTAAAATAATAGGATATCTAATCCTAGTTTATAATTTTAATATGTTTTTATATTATAAATTATATTATATTTACTAATTAAAATTTCACTTAAAATTAATAACTTAAAAGTAATTTATTTTCAAATAACATTAATAGAAATTCATTAATTATTATAATAACTTATAATTAACGTTTAACCGCTATTGCTGGCACTTTGTTTATCATTATTAATAATATCGTCTAGTGATTTATTTATCATTATCATTAGAGTAGAATATTTACCTGATACCCTACCCTACTCTACTTAATATTAATGTAACACTATCAAATAAAGAAGCGCATCGATTTTCAATTAGTAAAGCCGTGAAGACTTTCAGGACTCGAAATTGAAACGCGGACTTACCTCTGAGGCGTCACAGGTGTCAAAACACTGAACGAGCCTCGCTCGTACGAATCCGGTGTTCTCGAATACTTTGCAACCACCTCTTTCCCGTAGTTGATCGTTTCCGCCTCTTTCCGCGGCGTGAGCTCACCTTTGTGCGTGCAATTCTCCCCGTACGGGATCTTGATGGACTCGTAACTCGGCGAATTGTACGGCGAGGGATAGAGAGTGTCATAAGTTGGCGTGGTAGTTGGGTACGTGGTTGTTACACTGTCGGTGGAGATCGGGTATTCGTGGTGATTCGATAGAAGAGCCATTCTTCTCTTGCTGACTTGGTCGTTCCCTCGATATTACGTTTCATCAAAATCAAATTTAATCCCCTGGGGGGCAGGATCTTCGTGAAGTTTCACTATCTCCTGCACCGGTTCAACTGCTTACGCGCGATGACACTTACTTCTGCCAGTCGTTAACGACTCGTCGGTATATCTCTGAGAAGAGACGAGAGAATCGAGAATCGAGGGGACCAATTTCCTTCCAATTTACTTTCCACTTTCCGCGAGGCAAGCCGCTGGCTTCACGCGACACATCACAATCTTCAATCGTTCACTATCAGATCGTACACATTCATTCACCAGTGACACACACACACACACAGTTTCTATTCTCTTCCTTCTATCCCGGCAACCGAAACTCTGACTCTGAGAGCTTTCTCGATCGACTCGCGAGAAGGATCATCGTCGTTTCCCTCGATTTAAAAATCACCGCGTCGATGCGCCTGCTGTTTGGAGATAGCAAGAGGTAAGAGAGACAAGGCGTGTCACCCCGTGTTGTGCCTCGACCGACGATCTGCAACAGCAACAATAGAAAGGAGTTGAACGATCTTGGCGGTGTAAAGGCTGGAGTTTGAGTGTGGCGCGTGCCGCGGCGTCCTTCAGCGCATCAACATATGGTTGCCACTTCGTTTTATGTCCATTCCGTGTACGGTGCACCTGGTGGCCCGTGTTCTGGCTCCTTCTGCATCTACCCTCTCCTCGCCTTCTTCGCCGGGGCTCGCTCGAACCCACCACCACGAAACGCTCGTCGCGTTTCTCGTTTTTCCATCGAGGGCTCTGCCCTCGACATACA